TTCCTTTCTTCCTCCCTCCTTCTCCTTGCAAGATGCTGGGAGCGTCCGGCTGTCTGCAACCGAAATGGAACCCGTTGGAAAACAAGGTTTCCTCCCCAGGGAGGAGGAATCTGTCGTCCCAACTTCCCCCCCTGCCTCCCGATCATCCGGCTCTCCCCTCTCTCCCCCACAAAACTCCGCTGAGCCAGGTCTCCTCGCGCCTCCGCGATTGGTTGCGGGCCATCATGTGTCGACACTTTGGGTGGGTCTTTCTCCCGTTAAACTCATCAATCGCTCCTCTTTGGAGCTTCGCTGGCCAGTGGTTCAGACCTTTGCGCCCGTTTTCCCCATCCATCCTCTTTCCCCTCAACCCTCCACACCAGTCTTATTTTAGCAAAACCTAGAGAAGAAGGAGGAGGAGGCATCTGGGGCGCGGGGAGGGGGGCGGGCAGGGGACGCTAGGCATTGCAGCATCCGGCAGCAGCTATTGAGTGGCTAAGCGAACGGCGCATACCTCTCTCTCTTCCTCTCTCTTTTTCCCCCCCTCCTGTTGGGAATTTTCAGGATTTCATTGCTGCAATTTAACCCCAAGATGAGGCACGGTTGAGCGAAACCCTGCGCGCACACACGCACTCATACTCCTTCGTGAGCAGAAGAGGCAGACGCTGGTGATTCAGGGAGGAAAAAAAAAATCACCCGGACCCTGCGGCTTCAAGACTCCTTAAGAGCCCCTCGGAGCGTTTCCCTCCCCCCTTCCCTCTTTCCTTTCCCGTTAATACTCTTAATTTTAATTTAATTTAATTTTTTTTGGCTACAGATCTTTCAGCATTTTTAAGGTCTAGGAAGTCAAGCAAAACAGAAAGGGGGATTTTTTTTATTCTGGGGGCTGCCTTTTCCCCCAGCAAAGACCTGGTTTTTATTTTTATTTTTTTAATAAAAAATTTTTTAATGGGCCGAGCGCACTCCTTTTGCAAGATGCCAGCCTGACCCGGACCTCGGAGGAATTTGAAGCTTCCACTGCGTCCCGGGGGGGCGTCCTTTGCAAACCGTTCGAGTCTTAAAGGGGGTGTGCGTTTTTTTTTTTAACTGCCTTTTTTTTCCCCCCGGAGTGGGTGGACTGGGGATTGCCTGGATTCCTTCCTCGGTTATTTTTTGCCTCGCTTCCCTCTCCCCTCCCCCCGGCCCCGGCCCCCGCGCCCCGCCCCCGCACCCTCCTCCAGCCCCTCCTTCTCCGGGGTCAGCCAGGAAGATGTCCCGAGCTGCTATCCCCGGCTGGGGCCGGGCAGCCGCCTTGTGAGCCCCTGACCCGAGGCGCTGAGCCGCCGCCGCCCGATGGGCTGGGCCGTGGAGCGTCTCCGCAGTCGCAGCTCCAGCCGCCGTCTTCACAGCCCCGGCAGCATCAGCATCGGCATCGGCGGCGGCGGCGGCGGCGTCTTCCGCATCGTTCGCCGCAGCGTAACCCGGAGCCCTTTGCTCTTTGCAGAATGGCCCGCTTCGGAGACGAGATGCCGGCCCGCTACGGGGGAGGAGGCTCCGGGGCAGCCGCCGGGGTGGTCGTGGGCGCCGGAGGCGGGCGAGGAGCCGGGGGCAGCCGGCAGGGCGGGCAGCCCGGGGCGCAAAGGATGTACAAGCAGTCAATGGCGCAGAGAGCGCGGACCATGGCCCTCTACAACCCCATCCCCGTCCGACAGAACTGCCTCACGGTCAACCGGTCTCTATTCCTCTTCAGCGAGGACAACGTGGTGAGAAAATACGCCAAAAAGATCACCGAATGGCCATATCCTTTGCCCGAACCCTGGCAGCTGCGCCTCCCCCTCCTCCCTCCGCTTTCCCCTCTTCCAGGCTGGGAGAGAGACCCGGGGGTTGATGGGAGGTGGGGGGGTCTTCCAGGGGCTGGGAGAGGGGGCACCGGGGAGGAGTGTGGAGATTCTCTCCACCCCGAGCTGGGTTGAGCTACTGTGGAGACTTGGGGCAGGGGATTGAGGGGGGAGTGGATTTCTCTTAAGGACCCATTTCAGAGTGAGGGCCTGGCCCTGGGGTCGTGCAGGGCCCTTGGTGAGGGCTTGAGAGCCAGTTCCGGACGGGTCAGAGTTCTCCCGAATGAGCGTGGACCGGGCCTGGGCCTGGGCGCTCTGGCCGGGGCAAGGGAAGCACGGGGGGCCGTGGCTGGGTCTCCTAAGCCGCCCCTCACCAGAATCCACGGTTGCCTCCGATAACTAGAGCCCAGCCCCAGCTCTCAGGCCTCTCCACCCTTGCTTCCCCGATATGGTGGCCAGCACTCTCAGGGAGGGCGCCTAGGGGTTCCCAGGGCCAGGAGCCAGTGAAAGAGCATGTGGCCTTCACACTGGGGGGCCAGCATGGGCCAGAATTAATATCCTGGTGTGGGCCGCTGGCCGAGAAGGATTGGGGGGCACTTACTCTCCCCCAAGTCTGCAGGTTTCATTTCCTTCCACCACTGATTGGGGACCTCATCATCTCTGGGGCTGTAGAAAGCACCTGCTTTGCCCCATCTGGGGCCCTGTCCTGGAAGACGTGATGGGCTACTTTCATAAGAAAGACAGGGCAAGAGAAGATGAGGTGCTGGGTCCTGCCTAGGGTGCCGTGTCTGGCCTTGGGTTGGAATCTGCATCTTCCACCCTAGAGACTCGGGAGGGGACACCAGGAGACTCAACATCCAGGTGGACATCTCAGGCAGGTAAACACCTTTCTATTTTCTTTTAAAATTCAAGATCCAGAGGAAGAAGGTGAAGACCACATTTTCCTCTGCTGAGATGCTCTCAAAATGCAGATCCCCTTGTGTTTCTTTAAATTCGTGCCTGCTTGAAATAAACCTTGAGGAGGGCTTAACATCTGTTGAGATGTAGGCAGGCAAGGATGGGTAATTAGTCGGGCTTTCTAGCAGTTATCTAAGCATGACCCAGATTCCAAGTGGGGGGACGCACCCTGCTCCCCAAGCTGACTGGCCACCGTGCCTGCCCAAATGTGCCGCTCCTCAACTTGGTTCCAACTGGCTGCCCTCAGTGTGAAAACGAACAGGGCTGGATGAGCCCCTGGGGTTCACTGATGAGCCCCCATCCTTTTTGTGTATGGTTTCGACTGTTATGTACTCAACAGGGCTGAACCCTGGGTGGTCCTGGGGCTGCTTATTTGAGAAACACGTTGGCTGGTGGATTCACTTTTAGGCGAGGGCTCAGAACTGAGCAGGATTTTGGCTTCTGGGTGCTGAAATTGGAACACAGGGCTCTGAGGTTTTGGAGTGTGTGTGTGTGAACAGTACCTGGAGGGTGGTGAAAATGAAGAGGGTCAGCGGCTGTCTTTTTGGAGGGGCGTACACCTAACCATGGGGTCATTTTGCATCGTGCCCAAGGCAGGAGCCGGGGCTTTGCCTCCTGAATTTCAACCTTGTGAAAGTCGGTTGAAATGCTCAAGGGGTCTTGTAATCACTCTGTCTGTCTCCCCACAGTCCTGGTTGGGGAGAGGGGGACATGGAGAAAGGCCAAGTGTCAACGTGTGCATGATCAGATAACTCAAGGGTGTCCAGGAAGGATTCACTGGGCTGACAAGTTTCCGTGTTGAAAATGGCTTTAGATCGCCTGCTGGAGCCTGGATTTGGAGTCTTCTAAGAGGAAGGGAAGAAGGTGGGAGTCCTAATGTTGTGTCCTCAGCTCACCTCGGTCCGGCCTGAATCCTGCAGATCAGAGGGCTGTTGGGGAAGGAGGGGACTGCAGCAGCCCCTTGGAAAGAGGACTTTTGGGAGAAGGATGCAGGGGAACTCGGAGCATTCTTTGGCACTTGAGAGGTTTTTCTTTGGCTTTCTTGCTCTTGGTAGCTCTGTGATGAGTTTGTGCATCTTGCTCTTTGCAGAAACAGTTTTTGTTCTCTCTTTGGCCTGAGGCAGCAAACACATTATACAGCTCCACTCTCAAAGGGAAAGCTGTCCATCCCCCAATCTGTCACCAAGCAGAGTCATCCAGGACTGAGCTTTCTCTGGGGGTTGGGGGGAGATGAGAGGGACGGGGACAAGGAGATGGTGGGGGCTGGATAAAGGCTTTTGGGCCAGTGCGAAGAGATGATGGACTGTGTATCGACACCAAGGAGTCAGGATACCAGGGCAGAACATGGACTTCAGTATCCAAATCCTTCTGCCATTTAAAAAAAAAATGTGTTTAAGTACTTATTCAGAACTTTTCTCCCCCTGAACTTTTAAAATAAAGTCTGATAAATATATACACAGGGAAGTATGAAAGTTGAGTCCACCTTAGTAAGTGGACACGACCATGCAGCTGTCACCCTGGTCAAGGAAGAGAATGTGACCAGCTCCCTAGAAACTCCTGCCCCGGTCCCCTGCCAGTCACTCCCCCTGACAAGGGTTACTGCTACACTGACTTCCCACCCCACAGTTTCATTTTTCCTCCCTCTGAGTCTCCTGTAAATGAAGTCACAGGCTGCGTTCCTTTCTGCTTCTTCTTGTGCTCAGCAATATGCCTGAGAGATTCATCCATGTCCTGGCCGGTGGTCTTTGCTTGTCCCTTCTCGTTGCCGTGTGGCATTTTATTGTGTGACTCTGCCACAATGTACTTATCCGTTCAACAGGAGGGCCATGGGAGTAATTTCCAGATTGTGCTGTTCGGAACGTCCTTGTACATGTCTTTGGTTGGACTTTGTGGGGAGGCATTCCTCCGGAGTTTGCACCCAGGAGTGGAATTGTCAGCGCCATTCTTTGATGTATGTGTAGCGGGCCATGTATTTGGAAACAGCATATACTAAGGGCTGCAGGTGAGTGGGGAAAGCGGGTTGCTCCACTGTCATATGGAGGAGGAGTGAGGGGATGTTCCATGAACTTGGCTGTGTGCTCCCAGAACTGAAGAGCATTGCTTCCAAATACAAATTCCAGCCTAGTATGCTGGTGGAGGGTGCAACCTTGCGTTCCTCATGCTCCGGGCACCTGGCCACTGTGATTCCTTCCCCTCTGCACCTGATTTCCCTCAGCAGCTCAAGCTTGAAGCCAGCAGCAAGAAATTAAGGATTCTCATTAATTTTATGTTGCTCTTCCTAAATAAGAAAACCCAAGTGGAAATCTTTGATGTTTAGATTTACGTGGCTGCTTTTGGACTCTTGGAGCATTCCAGGCAGCAAGCTGTCTGGACCACACACCTTGGTTCTGTGTGCTTGTTGATTGGAAGTCTGATTTAAATATGGCTGTGACGGGCTCTGATGATGGCTTCTAAAGAGCTCAAATCTGTCAGCTCACTAAGGCGCATCTGTCAACCTTCCTAGAGCCCCCACTTAAAGCCGCTCGCTCCTTCTGACGTGCTTACCAGGCGCCAATGTGCATGTCATCTTCCCCCAGTCCTGCTGATGCCAGCAGATCTTCCACGGAGCCTGGTGTAGGAATTTGGGCCATTGCTAGAGCCACCGACTCAGGTCTGTGTGTCATCATGTTCCTTCTCCTGACGCACATGCAGGAGTCCAGGTTTTCATCCCCGTTTTTGGGAATCTCGACAGGAAGCCCAGAGTCCCATGACATCACGTAACCTATGGATGCTGGCTGATTGGCGCTCACCCAGTTACAGTGGCTGTCGTTAAATCAGAAACTCTTTAAAGAGGAGCATGCTGCATGGGAATCGGAGGGAGCCTTGGGAGAAGTTGGAGCATCTTAACAGACTTTTGGCCAGTCCTGAAAAGTAGATTGTGCTAGAAGGTACTACCCCAGAGGACAGGATGGAATGACTGTATGATCCTCCTACCAGATTAGCGTGGCAGGTGTTTCCAGAAGGGCAGAATTCCGGGAAGTGAGGGTTAGTGTGGCTTTTTCCCTTGGGATTTTTTTTTCCTATAAAGATGCTATTCCTCCTCCACACTCCCCAAATCTCAAAAACCTCTGAAAACTGAAAGATCGGCTCACTGAGGGTTTAAAAATCTACCTTGAACTGATCCAAATTTACAGTCTTAACTTACCATCTTAATTTATCCCAGTCGATTTCCATTTTGGTGCACGTTGCTGAAGAAGTGTTAGATATGCTTGGCGATGGGGGGCTGCTCCAGTCCCTCCGCTGGGAGTGTTGTGTATACATTGCAGTGCTTTCCAGACTTTCGTGAGTATGAGGCTGTCCTTGCTGAAATGCTGATTCTGGTCCAGCAGGCTTGGGGCTGGGGCTGGGCCTGGAGTTTTGCTTTTCCAACAAGCCTGTAGGGATGCCCCGTGCTGCTAGTCCATGAGTTACACTTGGAGTGTCCAGGTCACATCATAGATGCACCCTGTTACCTTTTTTCTGTTTCTTTTTCTCAAAACTTGGGTTTATTGAGGTATAAATTACCTACTGCAAAATTCACCCTTTTAAGCGTACAGTTCTCAGAGTTCTGACAGATGCATGTGGTCACGTAGCCAGCACCAAAATCAAAATATGGAACAGTTCCACCCCTGCCCAATCTCCCCTAATGCCCCTTGGAGTCAGCACCCCACTACCCAAGCCTTTTGCAAGTTCTGATCTGTTCTGCATCCTCATAGTTTGGCCTTTTCTAGGTCGTATAAATAGAACAAGACAGTAGGTAGCCTTTGGATTCTGGCTTCTTTCCTGCAGCCTTTGAGATCCGTTCGTGTTGTTGTGTGTCTCAGTAGCTCATTCTTTTGAGTGCAGAGTAGTATTCCATGGGATGGTCCAGAATCTGCTCATCTGTTCCCCAGTTGAAGGACATTTGGGGTGTTTCCAGGTTAGGCGATTATGAATAGAGCTGCTATAAACATCGCTGGAGGAGTTTTAGTGGGAACAGACATTT